TGGCAAAGGCAAGGATTTACGGAACTGAGACTCGATGTGAAGTACAAGCACTTCTGTTTTGTCACAATTCAACCTCAGAAAATTCTTCTCGCCCCAACATTTTACATCACGCCCACACTAATTTTATAATAGACCAGTTCACGGTTAGCACATAGCTGCAATGACCCCGATTATCTACAGATCTTCAAAACAATATGAAGAGGGCCCACGTTGTACATTTTGAAATAATCACTCCTACAGCGATGGAGATGCTACATATACTTAGCTTTTGTTTCCCCTTTTCAAAGAATACTTCCACCTGTGTATCACGGAGCGCTCTGCTTGAGCATAAATAAATAATGATTACATAACTTTTATGAGCATGTATCCAGTATTTTGTCTTTCACAATCTGCTCATGCTCAGACTGCAACTATGAACTGGCTTATTCATGCATTAGTCATTCCACGGGGTTCCAGAAGTGGGAAATTATTCATTGTTTATAAATATAGTTTTGCATATAAAGGCCAGGGTAACAAACTTTTGATAACATTCACTGACATTTGACAGGTCCCGTTTCATGAGCACGTATCCAGTATTCCATCTCCGTGTATTTCACAATTTGTTCTGCAATGACCTTTATCTGAGCTGCTCATTCTCAGAATTCTTGCTCAGACTGCATGCAACCCTGAACTGGCTTATTATGGTGTGTATTTCTTTGAGCATTCACTACATCACTCAGTGGGTCAATAAGGAAAAACACCGGGGGGGGGGGGGCAGAAACAAATTCCGCGTCACCACCAGGTGACATAATGGGCATTTGTTGTAAATCAGGGGTGATTTCAATGTTTTGTTTTTTTACACGGTGCAATTAAATACTGCTTAAGTATCATACATTGCAGTTAGGTGTGGTGGTCTGTATATATTTATTTGCGAGGGAGTGAAGCAAGCGAGAAAAAAGTTTAAGATTTTCAAGGGTAGCAGTGCAGACAAAAATACATCCTATGAAGAAGGCAAACAAGAATTCTGATGGGGTTTCAAACACAATCTAATCATGGAAGACTGAAGAGATAGTTGATAAAAGCCATGATTATATCAACCTTAAATTGGGCGCAATTAAGGGAATAATCTGCTGTTATGTGCTTTAAATTAGGAGCAAATTTTATTGTGAAAGGAAAAAGGGGCACTTATCCAAATGAAAATGGACATTTATTAGAAAAGGAAAGGAGCGAGTCCATTTTACTTTGAAATGAGTAATGATCAGAGGTCAAAATTGGGCACTTCTCGCACCTGATAAAGGGCACTCACCGGCAATGAAAAATGGCACCTATTCGAAATTTTAAAAAGAGGCACATTTCCTATTGTAAAAAGAGGCACTTTTTTTTTTGCCTCAGTTTAACTTTTGGAATTTGTCATTTTCCAACAACCGTTTTAAGACAAGAATAATAATAACAAAGATGAGAACCCCACCCCCCCCCCCCCCGCCCGGAATATCATGTCATTTCAGGAACATTTGTAAATAACTTGTATCGAATTTTTAAAAAGCACGTTTGAATTTGAACTGCCCCATTCCCAAGTCCCCCCCCCCCTCCATTAGTACGCCAGTGCAGTGGACTTCAGTCTTGTGTACGAATTAAACTCCAGAGGGCCGATGGCTTGTCCTTGAGGTACGCCATATATATATTTAAATTCTGTACCACCAATTCAAAGGTATGACAAAAGCGATCAACCAAAGTACGATGATTAATGTCACTATGAACATTACGAACAAAGAAAGCGGACAAAATATACAGTTCCTCAGGTAGACGAAGGAACATCCCTTCACAGCTATTATGTAAAAGGTGAATATGCATGTGACACCTGTTCTACACATTTTTACATAATAGCAGTGAAGGGATGTTCCTTTGTTTACCTGAGGAACTGTATATTTTGTCCGCTTTCTTTGTCAGTCATGTTCATAGTGTGTAGTGCCGAACGCATGAATAGTCTAAAACTACTGAAATACATTATCAATAAGAGGTAAAGCAATCTACCACCTGACTGCATGCCTGGTTGCTATGTCAGGCAACGTACCAGCGATGTAGTCAAGCAATTAACATCAAACTCATTATATACCAGGGACATGTATACAAAGAGATTTTAGAATCAATTTACCACCTGGCTGCATACCTCGTTGCTATGTCCGGCAACGTACCAGCGATGTAGTCAAGCATTATACATCAAACTCATTATATACCAGGGACATTTATACAAAGAGATTTTAGAATCAATTTACCACCTGGCTGCATACCTCGTTGCTATTTCAATTCAATTCAATTCAATTTCGGTTTTATTACAAATATACCAAATAAAAAGTCCAAAGACTAACAATAATTGGCTTACAATATATCATATAAAAATGCATTAAAAACAGTAGATTTAAAAATTCAGTAATAAGTTAAATTACATTGCTCACATTGTATCATATAAAAATGCATTAAAAACAGTTGAATTAAAAATTCAGTAATAACTTAAAGTATGAAGAAAAAAAAAAAAGATTGTAAGTTATAAAATGGTGATAATCAGTTTGTCAGTGAATTGAGAAGAGAGAAGAAATGAAGAGTGAAAAGTGAAAGAGAGGGAGAGGGAAAGGATAACGAGAGAAAAAAGAGTTCAATTCATGACAAAAAAAATGTAAGCAAATGAACGAGAATTGAGTTGATTCAGCTTAATGAAGCATTGCAAAAGTAAAATGCACATAATACGGAAATGTCAAATGATACATTAATACGAATGCCATTATGGAATTGTTATTATACTGTTTAAATTGGTGAATGTCAACGACCTATACATATTGGTGAACATTATTAATGAGTAATTATCACATTGTCAGAAAATTGAGAAGAGGAAATACAAGACAGAAATAGAGAAACAGTGGGAGAGGGGAGGAGGGAAAGGAGAAGGAGAGAAGAAAGAAGAAATAAAGAGTGAAAAGTGGAAGAGAGGGAGAGGGAAAGGATAACGAGAAAAAAGAGAGTTCAATTCATGACAAAAACAAAATGTAAGCAATTGAACGAGAATTGAGTTGATTCAGCTTAATGAAGCATTGTAAAAGTAAAATGCACATAATACGGAAATGTCAAATGCTACGTGACTAAGAATGCCATTATGGAATTGTTCTTATACTGTTTAAAATTGGTGAATGTCAATGACCTATACATGTTGGTGAACATTATTAATGAGTAATTATCACATTGTCAGAAAATTGAGAAGAGGAAATACAAGACAGAAATAGAGAAACAGTGGGAGAGGGGAGGAGGGAAAGGAGAAGGAGAGAGAAAGAGCTAGAGAAAGGGAGGAAGAGAGAGAGAGAGAGAGAGACGGAGAGAGGGAGAGAGTTCGAAAAATGACAATACATAAAACAGATCTAACAAGATTTCAGTTGATCGAATTTAGCAAACGAACAAGAGAGGGAACTGCCGATTGTTTGTAACGCTGGGCTCTGCAACGTGGTATGAAAAGAAAACGTGGAAGGGACAAATGTCCGGCAACGTACCAGCGATGTAGTCAAGCATTATACATCAAACTCATTATATACCAGAGACATGTATAAATGCAAAGCTTAGAATCAATCTACCACCTGACTTCATGCCTGGTTGCTATGTCAGGCAACAACTTGTTGCCATTCAGTCAAGCATTCACTATGAAAATGACGGACAAAGAAAGCGGACAAAATATACAGTTCCTCAGGTAGACAAAGGAACAGCCCTTCACTGCTATTATGTAAAAAGTGAATATGCATGTGACACCTGTTCTACACATGTTTACATAATAGCAGTGAAGGGATGTTCCTTTGTCTACCTGAGGAACTGAATATTTTGTCCGCTTTCTTTGTCAGTCATATTCATAGTGAATATTATACATGAAACCGTTTTCATCAAGATACACTCACAATTGATCATAACCTAGAATATCTTCCACAGCTTTATCAAGAACATGAGGTTTGCAATCAGTGGCGGATCCAGGTGCCCCCCCCCCCTGACAAAAAAGGGGAAAAAGGGGGGGGGGGAGGGGGAAAAAGGGGGGGGGGAGGAAAAAAAAGAAGGAATAAAAAAGAGAAGGAAATAAAAGGTATCAAAATATGCTCATCTGACCGTAAATAAATGCCTAAAACCCCTTGACTTCTGGTGGCTCTGCCCCCTGGACCCCACCTAGGGCCCTAAGGCGGACGGCTGGCTGCTAACCTGACGGTAATTTAATGCTTAAAACCCTCTGGGGTATCGGCCCTCTGGACCTCACGCTATTTAGTGTTATGCCAGTGTCACAAATGAGGTATCAAAATATGTTCATCTGACCGTAATTAAATGCCTAAAACCCCTAAGTTTCCGGGGCTCCTCCCCTCTAAAACACCTGGGGCCCTAAGGCGGATCCCTGCATGCTTGTCTGACCGTTATAAAATTACTTAAACCCCGGAGCTTCTGGTGGCTCCGCCCCCTGGACCCCACGCCAATTCGTGACCTGCCAGTGTCACAAATAAGGTATAAATTATGCTCATCTGACTATAATTGAATGTATAAAACCCCTGAGATGCCTTTTGAGATGCCTTCCCCCTTTCAAGGGGGGGGGGGGGGGGGGGCGAATTTTCAAGGTAAAAAAAAAATCAAAATTAGTGCTCACTACTCCCCCCTCCCCTCCCCCCCCCCTCCCCCCACTGAGCGAAATATTTCCCGGCACGATTTTCAAATTGTAAAGCAATGGTAATTCTTGATATCAAGAATTCGATTTCATGATATCAAGAATTCGATTTCGTGATATCAAGAATTAAATTCTTGATATCAAGAAATATGTTTTAATGATAAAACTGCTTGCCATAAGATCGCGCCAGCTCGCCACAACTCGAGGCTCCAACTTGGCTAAGTGGGAGCCCTGCTTAAGGGTGCGCAGGGGCGTACGCAGGATTTTTTCAAGGGGGGGGGGGGGGGGGGTTTAACCCCAAAACACCCCCTGCGTACGCGCCTGAGGGTGCGTTTAATCGACCCTTTTTTTACCCTAGAATCACGATTTTTAAAGAATTTGGTAGAGTAATTTTTATATCAGCCAAAATGTGGTAATCACGACACAGTGTCTCCTGTTATAAACCAAGATTAGGTTTCAATCATATGCCCGCACTCAGGTTTTACACACCAGGTTTGTAAAAAAAAAAACGCGTCAAAACGATTATGACGTACACAAACCTCGGTTTGTCGACAAACCTCCTTTGTGAATTCGGGCCTCAGAGTCTCCGACAATATAAGATGAGGTCATATAGAGGTCGAGGCTGAGGGAACATGAATCCATGTAACATTACACGTACAATGTATGTTCAAAGCTAGGCTGCATACAGCGACTTTTTATCAGCGGCTGAAAATGTTGCACCTTCAAATGTAGGAAAATCAAATGGAGAAATCTGTCAGAAAGTATCGAAACGCAGCGCGCGTAACAGCTGCACTGCTCAAGCCAGGGTAATTATGCTGCATTATTGTAGAGTGCTTAGAGACTTCTGACAAAGTAAGTGTTATGCGCTATATAAGCACTGTAATTATTATTATCGCGCTGGATTCTGGTAACTTAAAGAAGAGATTGTTAACGTTCGCTTAGTTCACCATCACGCCGAACAAATAATAACTATCAAAGAGAGCTTGTGGAATAAGCTAGGCAGCTTATCAGGCGTCACACACCATGCAAGTGAAAGTTCTCAGCCCCTTCATACACAGGCATCTTTGCTGTTTTGAGTTTGATATTTTCCCCATGCCAGTAATATCGTCTGTCAACGCAGTGGAGTTTTTTGGAGGCATCTAGATTGGAATGCTGCATCATCTCGTAAGCCAGTCGACATATCTGCAAAGAAAATGCGAATTTTTAGATTCCTCATATAATTAGCCCTTTTTTTTGCAAAGGGCATTTCCGCGTGTAAGAACTTGACAATTTCTTTTCAAAAGAAGAAAATAATTCATTTTGCTCGTGAGTTTCCGAAGAATAAAAAATAAAAAACGGACAGAAGCTTTTCTAGTCGTAATATCGTACACAGAACAAAATAAAGATTTCAAAATGCCTATTCTCATTACTAAATGGAGCGCTGTTTTAGTAAAGGACACAATTACTATATAATGCACGCGTGTAGTACGACACTACACGTTGCGTTATTGAAATTGTCGACAATACTTAGTACGAATTAATTTAAGATGGGAAATGCTCCATCAGGTCTAAAACGGCAAGGCTGAATCCAAAAACAACCACAATAATTTTACTAGGTTTTATACAATTAATGTAATTCAACAGAGATCGGTTTAATACCGTGATGACTAAAACAAACTATCACGTTTAGTTTTTGACCAATATTCTCGCTTAAATACTATGTAAATGGAGACACATAGAATATCATACATAATTTCATGCGCACAGATCACTAACAGTCAGTTGTTATTGTTCGGAAACTCACACGCGATCCCCCAAAGGAAAGAAAACATAGTAATACAAATCGTATAAAGAAACGTCATAAAAAAGAGGGGGGGGGGGCGTGAGGGCACCTTCTTGGTCCAATTTTTGAGCAAATAATTAGCGGCGACTGAGCCAGCAGGTGAATGTGCGGGGGGGGGGGGGAGTAAGAGCACTGTTTTTTGTTGTTGGCCCAATTCGTGAGAATTTTTTCTTTTCATTTTTTCAATATTTTTTTTATTTTTAATTTTTAATTTTTTGTTTGGGGGGGGGCGGAGCCGTCAAGCCTCCCCCTTGTGAATCCGCGCCTGGTTGTACATATTACATTCCCTTGCGGTAGGGCCACTTGTTCATTAGTATTTTAAATGAGAGAGATAAGGGAGAAAATGATAGCAGTATAACTTCAATTAAACTTTCCCAGAGCTCTATCGGCCTAGTAGTATTATGTGCAGCTAACGCACATCACATGCATATACCGGCGAGCTGCACGATCAGAGTTTCTTAATTTTGAGCATGGCGCGAGAAAAAAAGTTCCCTCTCAAAGCGTCGAAATATCCTCTGCGACGCATTAGTGGTATGGAATAACACGCCCCCCCTCATTTTTTGTTAGGGGGGATGGTCCCCCCCCCGGAAAATTTGCAAAGTGCCAACAAATTATTTAGCTAAAGCCTCGGTCACAAATGCCATTACGAACTGCTACGAACGCCATACGAATGATTTTCAGCCAATGGAAATTCGGAAAGACAATGGAAAAAAGTGAAATTTATACGAACGCATTGTTCGTACGAACCTTTGTGACTGTACTTTATACTGACTAAAGACTGCAATACACTTAAAAATGCAAAAAATCTTCTCGCTAGGTCACTACGCTCCCTCGCGTAAACTCCTTTAAAATTTAGTAGAAATATTGTACAAGATCCCGCATGTCGTCCCTCCGGTCATGAAAAGGAATCGCCGCCCCTGCCGTTCACAGTGGCCGTTTCATCGGTATCGCACCTTTAGAAAGAGTATTTCTGCTGCTATCGCCTATTTCTCTTCTTTTCATCGGCAATTCTATCGGCCTTTTCTTGTGTACCATTTAATGCAAAAGTAGATAAATGAGTTGATAAAAGAATGAATATAACAATGATAAATAACTTGAAAAAGAAAATTGCCGAAAATTAAGAAATACATACATTCGAAGAGCAAGTGCAAACAAGAAAATCCGAGCGAGCCAGAAGATGAAGGTCTACGATGATACCCATCAAAGATTCCTCTGACCGTCGTAATGATACATTGGCTGACTGAGATATATTATTGTCACTCACAAACAAATAATCAGGGTATCTGTCAAAGAATAAAACACATGAAAAATAAAGTAATGTTTCGAATAACTTCGCAGCGTTGTCGTAGTCGAGTGGTTAAGGATGCGTTTATGCTTGATTTTGAAGGTAGAATGAGCGATCTGAAACGCTCATCGTAATCGCAGTTCCACGGTGTACTGTTTATGCTCACTTCTCTGGCTCCTCCAGGCAAATCTGGCAAGGTGGCCTTGCAGCTGGATTCGCAAACCTGCACTGCGCATGCTACGTAGACCCACTAGAGGTCAGTGTGTTGACCCTATTTAAACGCGTTTACAAATCATTGTGCGTTTAAGCTTCCCAGAATCGCCGAATTTGCAGCATCGCCAATCGTAAACGCACCTTTTTGTGAGTTTACGATCGGCGATCGTGATCGCCGTTTTTCGATGATTCTACAAAAATGAGAAAGGACGCAACCGTGTTTTGAGCTAAACGCGTAACAGATGCCTGATTCTGGCTAGAAAAAGTTGAGCATAAACATACCCTTAGACAGTCGAGATGCGAAGGTCGTAGGATCGAGCCCGGGCAAGCAACTCTATTAAATGCTTAATTGTGTTGATGTGATTTATATATAGGCCTATATAATTTTATATCTTCGTAGAATTGTATTGATCAATCTCTATGAATGTTTAGATTGATCAATAAAGTTCGGAGAAGATAGAAAACATGATCTAAGATCAATAATTTATATTGTCACAATTATTTCCTTAAAGCCCCACCGTACTACTTGTAGCTACTTGCTCCCTCTATATATAAAACAATGCCTAATCAGTGCATGTTGGTCCCCCATGATCCTCTTTTTCTTATGTCAATTGAGAGCTGAGTTGATGAGATAGCCACATGTCAGTGACCCCGCTGAGTGGTCTAATCTCTCCTGGCCAAACTAGTACAGACGGGCTTTAAAAGACGTAAAAGATAATTTCCAAATTCATTTACAATAACGTAAACACTTATTAAAGCAATGTACTTTTTTTCCTACATTACTTCTTTCCTCTCAGATATATGTACCTCTAGAAAGAACAGAGCCATTTTAATAATGGCTCTGAATATAGCATTCCAGCCGTTTTTAATTCTTGATTTGTATTATATTTGTAAATTGTATTCTTGTATGTATTTGAATTTTTATACGGAAAATATAACCAAACCAAACTAAACCATAACGTAGACCACAAATGATGCGAAATTAATTTTTAGAGAATTGTGTGCGTCTCTAAAAAGGTTCCTGGCTACAATGCTTGCAGGAGAGTGGAGAATTTGAATACAGACATGGGTTCATACGTTATGTGCGATCAAGCCTGAATCATATGACCGATGAGAAATTATTTATAATGTTTTTATATCTATAAAGGCCTCAAGACATCGTTTTATGTTTCAGGCTCGAAATAAATTTAGATTTATATTAGATTAAATTACAACTTAGTTTCCACATGAATTAAAAATGACATATTGACTGGGATATCGTAATGTCTGTCACGTACATATAATTAGGAAAACTATCAAATAACAAATGTTAAATTGTAATGGAAATTATAACTTGGAGCTAGAATAATTACCTAAATATTAAATCATGAGCCATTTTAATAATGGCTCTGAAGAGAGCATTCCAGCCGTTTTTAATTCTTGATTTGTATTATATTTGTAAATTGTATTCTCGTATGTATTTGAATTTTTATACGGAAAATACAACCAAACCGTAGACCACATAGGATGCGAAAGTAATTTTTTACAGAATTGTGTGCGTCTCTAGTCTCTAATAATTACCTAAATTTTAAACCGAAACCGGATTTAAAAAAAAAGGAATTTAGACTAAGGTATAAGCTTCATTTAATATGACTTAATAACCTCGTGTAATTTAATTTTATTTGTAATAACTATATATTTTTCTTGATCAAACTGCAATTCATAATGTAGGGTTAAAGAATGAAAGAAATCTTAATTTGTTCATCTAGTTAAAATTTAGAAGTTTAGGTACATTTATGAGCTCAATTTTGCGGTAATGCTTTTACATTATGGATTTAAGCCACAATGACTGTCCTCAACTCACTTATTCTGGGCTTCGTAGAGCAGACCGACCTCGTCTGTTGCTAAGAAGACTCTCCTGACGGACACTGCTTTTCTCTTCTCCAATTCCTGGTAGTATTTTTTTACATGATCCATGTACTCCTCAATACCATGATATGTGGCTTCCCTAACGAGTTTATCTGTACGCCTGACATGAATGCTTTTATTTGAGGGAAAAATATAATTTAAAAAACAAAACAAATCAACAGTGAATTAGATGCTCGAATGAACTCCACCCCTCAGCTCTTTTTTTGTTGTTGTAACTGGTTAAGCTTAAAATACACTTCATTTTATAACAACTCTTAATTAATGCTACACTTAAATTACAAATTGTGTTCCCAACTTCCCATCAGTAGTAAATGATATGCGCTTGGCGGAGTTACGTATGGGATATAACTATTACAACCGGTGGGTTGACTCGGCTGGCCCATCGGTGGACGCAGGTCTGGAGTTTAACGCTTAGTACATCCCCCTCCCTACGAGGACAACCAAGGACAGCCACCCTGGACACCCCCCTGGACACCCCCATGAAAATTCTCCGCCCCCTTTTCAAATGAGGAAGTCTACCCTGATAATAAGTTGGTCTTTAAAGTAGAATTTTTTCGGGGAGTAATTGTCTAAGGGGGAGGGGGGGGGGGGGAAGGGGGGCGGGGGTGATTGACCAAGCGAGTAATTGTTCTCGGGGGATAATAATCCAAGAGGAAGGGGGGGTGGTTGGGAGTCCTGCTGGGTATTTTCCCGGGGGGGGGGGGAGGGGGGAGGGGGTAGTGTCCACGGGCCCTCGGGGATATTTTTATTTATTTATTTATTTATTTATTATTATTATTATTATTATTATAACAACTACTATTATTATTATTATCATTTTTATTTATTTATTTATTTATTTATTTTTTATTTATTTATTTATTTATTTATTTATTTTTTTAATTTATTTTTTTAAATTTTTTATTATTATTATTATTATTATTATTATTTTTTTTTGGGGGGGGGGATTGTCCTTTGGGGTAATTCTCCCGCTGGTAATTTTTTTTTTTTTTTTTTTGGGGGGGGGGGGGGGGAGAATTGTCCTAGAACTGATGTATGCTGCTCGCTCGAGCTAACTAGCGATAGCTGCAGCAATGTTTCGCCGAGTACATATAACTAATCACTATAAACTAGAGGGGCTGGACGTCTTCCAAAGTGGGGAAGGGGGCACCAACAACAAAGGGGCACTTGCTTGAAAAAGGGGCACCTTCAAAGGGAAACCTGAATGCAAAAAAAAAAATCGTTTCATACATTTTGTATACCCCTACATTTTGATTCCATTTTCAGGGATGATTTCCATATTTGGTTCTCTCTTCAATTGTCCAGGAAACTGTTTCAGCATCATATTAGCAGTTGAGTCTGATGTTTTGATTATTATTTTCCAAGGGAGCGAAGCGACCGAGAAAAACAAATTAATAATTGTGAGGTGGCAGTGTGAAAAATTACATCTTATATAGAGAAAAAATAATCCTAAGGGGGTTCAAAGCACAATCTCATTAGGTAAAATAAATATATCAACTATAAATGCGAGCAAGCGTAGCGAGTAAACCTTTAGGTAATTACAGAAAATTGTGCTTTTAGTGGCCTTGATTAACACACATGTTATAGAGAAAGCAAAAAGTGGGCACTTATCAAAGAGAAAGAGGCACTTATTGGAACAAAATAGGAGCACGGGTAGAAGTAAAAGTAAAAAGAGGTACTCAACCAAAATGGAAAAATGCTCTAATGAAAAGGAAAAAATGGGAAATTGTCAAAGGATAAGAGGCACCTCTCAGATTTTAATAGGGAAATTATCAGAGGAAAAGGGAACACTTATCTTATTATTGTATTATGACAAAAGGAGCATTTTTGGAAAAAATTGGGACCTGACCTTCCCCTTGGAGCGCTGCCTCTGATCAAATCATGAACTAATAATTGAATGAAATAGTAATAATAATAATATAATAATAACAATATTTATCAAGCGCAACATATCAATCTTTAAAGATGCTCAAGGCGCATACAAATAATTTGAATTAATATTCAACATACTTAAGATTAAAGAAATATTAAATGTTAACTTGCATTTGATCATACAACTTAATTGTGCTGAGGTACATACAATGTGGCACAGTGTGATTGTCTGTTTTGCATGAAAAAAAAAGTAGATGGTTGATATTGATTGATCGATTTGTCAAAAAAAAAATCATATTTTAGGTTCCCTATTTCATCACAATTTCTCTTCCAGTTTCCATGTTTTTGTTTCACATCAGGCCTTGGATCAAAAGGTTTTGGGGCTCCTGCAGCAACCCTAGATGGAATTGTTTAGTGGGTGCTGCATATAACCCACGGAAATGTGTGTAAACCTTCAAATAATGAATTGCCATGTACCCCCTTCCCCCTCTTTAAAAAAGGGAAGAAACTGAAGAGAAAATTGAAGATTAGAAGAGAACAAAATAAGAGAGAGAGAGAGATATAGAAAGATAGAAGAAAAAGAGAAAGGAAAGACAAAAAGAAAATGGTAATTAAAAAAAGCAAGAGGTAGATAAAAGAAAAAGGAATTTAAGACATAGTATTAATGATATCTTTCTCCTTTTTCTTTTTGGATTCGTCTTCCTTTTATTTAATTCTTTTTCTTTTTCTTGCAGTTTTGTTCTTCCTTTACAAAAAATCTGTTTCTTTCTTTCTTTGTTTTCTTTCCGTAGTTTCTCTTTTCCCATAACCCGGCGAGAACCCGGTACGAAGCTGGTATGCATGGACATTGTAACAACATGTTGGATAAAATATGACACATTGGATAATGTAATCACAAATAATATAGGTGTTTGTACCAATGTCTAAAAAAGTATACATTTTTCTATTTGAGATATCCCTTTGTAGGAGCCCTTTTTTCTCTCTAGAATGTGCCATTATATGTTGGTGCCCCCTCTCGCTTTGGAGGTCGCTCCGCCGCCCCTGCTTCCATGTGTAGGCATTATGAAGAATTATAAATATTTTTTCATTACGAAAAGCGCCCGTTAAAACTATACCCCATCACTATAACACAGGAACCTATTTAAATCAGGTGGGGTATCAAGACCCCATTTTCGTTCCTCTCGTTAAAACGTGGACAGAGCCACCACTATAAAACAGGAACCAATGTAAATCAGGTGGGGTAACAGGACCCCACTTTTGTTTCTCTCCTTAAAACTTGGACAGAGAGCCTTGCAGCTCTGCGTGAATGATTATTTACCTCACAGTAAGTTGGTTGTTTGAACCAGTGAAATAAAAACATACGCACAAAAACACATGGTGCCGGCCACCACCTTGATTTCCTTATCTTTCTATGCTCATTACTCAGCCCCTATACATTTTTTCCAAAATAAATTCGTTTGGTACAAGTCATTTATTTGTAATATTATAATAATGATAATAATATTTCTCATCAATATTTATACTGTTCTCTCTGAGGGCCCTCCAATCATATTAATACCCCGGCTTTAACCGAGCTACCATTAAAAGGTGCTCAAGCAGTCAAGGAATTTCCTCCTACCGGGTACCCATTTACCTCACCTGGGTAGAGTATGGCAAATGGAGATTAATGTCTGGCCAAAGGACATTAGTGCCATTGAACGTTCAGTAAGTTTTGTTGGATTATGTGATAATTTATTTTCTATCATTACCAGAAATTAAGCTTATCTTTAGGACCTTAACATTCGTCTTACCCAACGATCGGATGTGCGAATCCCAAGGCAGTTGTCTTATTGTCAATCAATGATTGGGTTTGAGGCTGAGGTTTCAGAATGTAGGTGATGATCTGTCCTATCCACCAGATGTGGGGTTTACTGTGGACTCTCCTCAGTCTCTCCGAGATGTCTTCTGGAACAGCCCAGGGCAAGAAAACTGGCTTTTCGTTAGTTTCCATAAATTTTACTATGAGGGGGAGCTCCACCACTTGAATGCTTTCATTTCCATCAGGAACTGTAGATGAAAACAAAAGAAATGCATTCAATTGATATATTTGTACCAATTTCTACTACATGTTGAATAATTTTCAATTATGTTTTTTATTTTTCACAATCATCGATCATATTACCTGTCTGCAAACTCGATTTTCTTGGACTTCATATCATGACGGTTTTTCGAACTTATCATTGTAAGTTGCAGATGTATGATTGTGGAAATATGGACTTTTAGATTTGCACCTCGACATAGTGGACTGCTACGTGTGACATCCTTTTAAGGCACTAGCAGTGCCTTAAAAGGATGTCGCATTGCCTTAGAAGGACGTCACACGTAGCAGTCTAATATGTCGGCGTGCACATCTAAAAGTCCCAATTTATGCAAGTTGTAGACCAGGGGGATGATTCACTAACGGCTAAAATCGATCCCAAAATGAGATTAAATTGCTCTTAGGCTCAATATCACTCCTAAGAGCAATATCACTTTTAGGAAATGATTCATTCAGGCATTTGGGATTAATGCTATCATTAAGATCGCTATTACGGCTAAGAGTGATCGCGCTTACTTATGACAGCCTTAGCAACACTTTCTGGCAAAGATAAAACTGTCAAACTGAAGCTAAATTAGAGCTAACACAGGGAAGATAGATATTGTTAGTCACTGATTTGATTTACTCTATGATAGAGTAGGCCTAACTTAGTGCCAACAACATGTAAAACACCTTAGACTTGGATTCTACATCAAGACTGTACGATGATCATCCCCACAGCCTTGGCCCAGCCCATGCTAGAGCCTGCTACATGCTAGCATCTTGTCCATGGCCCTAGTGCTGTTGGAATATGTAAATTCTTGCGAGCGATTTAAGCGAGCCAGAATTTACGGACTTCAACAGCGCTAGGGCCATCGACAAGAGGCTAGCTACATGCTAGCTACATGGGGACGGTAGGTCGAACTTACGTACATTACGTACGTTAAATCCGGCATTTTACTCAAAACATGTTAGAACAAAATCAACATAGAAATGAACGTCATTGACAAATTAAGCGACGATAGCTAGCTAATTATAGTTATATCGATCATCATCATCATCATCATTATTATCAGGACGAAAGAACTGTCCCATTCAAAGACACCTACTTGGCCACTTGTTGAAAGCTGTAGTCTCGCCTGTTCCATGAAGGCAAGTCTCACTGAAAGGGCGGAAGCACTTGTCCCATCCCTCCTTAAAGTAGGCCCATCCCTCGCCGGACTCAAGAATAAGGGTCCTCCCACTCCCGTACGCCATCAACATGCAGAACGACAAATGGTGTACCTTGCTACCGAACCCGCTTGTCTTTTTAAAGGTGCATAAAATCTTCTTGGCTTTTCTGCAATCTGGAGGGTTCTGGTGAAACAAAATAGGGACTTTTAGATTTGCACAACGGAGAACGTGGACTGACCTTTTAAGGCAATGTGACGTCCTTTTAAGGCACTGGCAGTGACGTCACATTGCCTTAAAAGGGCAGTTCTCCGTCGTGCAAATCTAAAAGTCCCTATTGAGAAGGACGTAAAAAAACACCAAAAATTGATTGAGTTTGAACAAGATCGCAACGACTTTTAAGGGCCGACTGTACTATAGTTTGGCCAGGAGGAATTAGACTACACAGCATGGTCAAGACAGGTGGCTATCTCATCAACTCAGCTCTCAATTAACTAAAAAAAAGAAGATGATCATGGGGGACCAATGGTCACCGATTAGGCCTTTTTTCTATCTAGAGGGAGCAAGTAGCTACAGGTAGGACAGTGGGGCTTTAACAAAATTCTTTGTCAATAGCCTATTGTATTGGCCTCCGTTAGAAATCATGTTTGGATAAAGGCATTGTATCGTTTAAACATATCAAATTCGCTGTTGAAATTGCCTTCTATGCGGTCATGTTTTTCGTTGACAAGTTTCCTGATGACATCTTCTCTAACATAAACAAAACATGTATCTTCAAAGCATTCTGGAGAAAAATTTACCTAACTCCATCTTGTTACTATACCTGTAGAAAATGGAGTCTCTGCTGTATAAGATATGATAGCTTCCTCAACTCGTTTTGTTTCCATCTAGGTAAAAATAGAAAAAGTGGTGAAAACATACCATTCCTTTAGCAGAAGGACCAACCAATTAATAAATCAGCAAAAAGTTGCTCTTCGTGTAACACCACGTTCATTTACAATGGATAACGAAGTTTAAGAAACAAAAAAAAATTAAAGCTCGAAATGTGTAGTTTGATCCAAGGAAACGAAATACTTATATTAGACTTATTTATAGGAAACAGACTATTGTTCTTTACAATATGAACAGTCCATTACATGAATAGCTCTCTCTCTCTATTTCTCTTTCTCTCTCTCTCTCTCTGTCTCCGTCTCTCCTTCTCCCTCTCTCACTATTTCGCCAGTTTTTCCAGCAAATCTTAGTCTATTCACGGCAGGACGGAGATTAAGTTTTGCAGGTGAGAGGGAGGGGGGGGGGGTGGGGTGTGTTTATATAGTGATCACTTCCTAGATATGTCATTGTATATCAATATAGTTCTGATAGATAGAAAGAAAAAAGGATTGGCGAAATAAGAGAAAGGTCAATTACCTTTGTTCTTTGGCAGAGATTCTCAGGCGAGTCGAGTCTTTCTTGGATGACTTCATGGGCTGGGTATACCGAGGAGATATTTGTCGTTCAAATACGATGAAAATGCTGATAAGCAAGGCTAGCGTAATCGTCAACAACAACTTGTACAACGTATTCATGATCACAACTCTCCCTCGTTAGACAACCAAACCTGTTTCTTCTTTCTGTATAATAGATTTAGATAACAAACATAGACAGTATCAAATTAACCTCTATCACAATAACCATGTCAAAGGTCGTAGACATTTCAGGGCCCTATCAATAACAGGTTACAAGCTACTGTTATAAGCTACTGAAATCATGGCATCTGATTGGCTGAGAGCAAACTTGATATCAATAACTGTTATAAGCTACTGAAATCATGGCATCTGATTGGCTGAGAGCATACTTGATATCAATAACAGGTTACAAGCTAATGTTATAGGCTACTGAAATCAAGGCATCTGATTGGATGAGAGCAAATTTGTCATCGAAATTTAGCATTTGTTATAGATAAACAGTTTTATGAAATGGGCCCCAGTTCTCTTGAGGCAAATGGTCATGTCTCCTCTTTCTTCTCCACTTTCTTCTTTTTATTATTCTTCTCCTCTTCTTCCACCCTTTTCCAAACATACCCTTATGTTCTTGATAAATAGTTATAATTGCACTAAAATTGCTCAAAAATGTACCAATTTACATTATGACGTCACAATTTGGTACTCTATCAGCTCAAGGTATATAATAGACGACGTCTTTTCAAGAAAGTTTTGAATGCCCCTTTTGGTGAAATTGGAATGAAATGTATTATGCCAGGAGCATTCAATAGTCACCCTATTTCAATCCTCACAAGCTACTAATAGGGACTTTTAGATTTACACGACGAGAACGTGGACCGCCAGGTGTGACATCCTTTTAAGGTAATGTGACGTCCTTTTAAGGCACTGCCGGGCACGACCCAGTGCTTTAACACAATGTCACACGCGGCAGTCCACGCTCTCGTCGTGTAAATCTAAAAGTCCCTAATGCTATCAGTCTGAACGTAGCTTATTTTTCAGGTGCAAACCGTTGTTGGTCATTCTGCGTAACGGAATGTCTGAAAAATGAGACTATGAGGTATGTACTCTGTAGTTACTATGAAAATAACGGACAAAGAAAGCGGACAAAATATACAGTTCCTCATTCTACCATCAACAATTGCTGTGGTAGACAAAGGAACATCCCTTCACTGCTATTATGTAAAAATAAGTAGCACAGGTGAATATACATGTGACACCTGTTCTACACATCTTTACATAATAGCAGTGAAGGGATGTTCTTTTATATACCACAGCAATTTTTGAGGGTAGAATGAGGAACTGTACATTTTGTCCGCTTTCTTTGTCCGTCATGTTCATAGTGAGTACCTGTACTATATTATAGAGAGCTAGCCAATCACAAACAAAGAAAAAGACTCAAGGAAGATATGCCATGGCATGTTTACGTAATGCATGGCATCGTTGCTGAACTTTTGCAAAAATATCAGGCTATGGAAAAAGTGTGGATGCCACACAAATTTGTTGGTTTTATCGTTTTTCCAAATTGCTACTAATAATGTCATTTTAGGTTCCAAATTTGAAAGAATATAAAAATTGAGGATTTTCTATTTGTTGACCTAATATATATTAAAGGTAGGCTTTACTAATTCAGCCAGAAGGGATTAGACCACACAGCGAGCCATCGAGGTCACTGTGACAGGTGGCTATCTCATTAACTCAGCTCTCATTTAACATAAAGAAAAAGAGGATCATGGGGGACCAACAGGCACCGATTTGGGAAGTTTTCTATATAGAGGGAGCAAGTAGCTACAAGTAGGACAGTGTGCCTTTAAAGACCGTAAATACTATTGGGCCAGACGGGATTAGACCACACAGCGAGGTCACTGACAGGTGGCTATCTTATTAACTCAGCTCTCAACTAACATAAGCAAAAGAGGATCATGGGGGACCAACAGGCACCGATTGGGGAAGTTTTCTATATAGAGGGAGCAAGTAGCTACAAGTAGGACAGTGGGGATTTAATACACCCTTCCAATGGTGTAATTTTAATTACGAGTTTGAAGTAATAGATATTATAAACGTATGTATGGCACGATTAAACATATATGTTTCTCTATCCAGGCTGCACACTTTGAGTGGAAAAAAATACTGTACATTTAAATCTTCAGTGAACATGTATAGTATATTGATGGCAATATGACAACAGGTATTAGCAGGATTATAGTTCATGGGCTAAACAAATTGAAAATATTATGGTATGAAAAACATTGGTCATTCCTAAACTGAACTATCTGTTATGTTATGTCTTCAACCCTCCAGTTACATTTGTTAACGGAATTCAACAGTTGTTGTTTACATTTTGATGGAGTAAAAAAATTGATAAAATTAAACGCTCTTTGTTATACAATGACTACACTTACGGTGGTCTTAACATGTAACCCTTATTACGTTTTAATCGAGCAATAAAAATTCCATGGATGAAACGATTCTTAGATGACGAAAATAACGGGAAACGGAAATTTCAAACAGTCCCTTCGTTGCATTTGCGAGGAAAACTTTATATTATGGAATTTGTGCCAAAATCATCTTACCTCTAATTCAAATTGTTGAGCCCTTTTGGAATGATGTTTTAATTTCATGGTCATATTACAGATACTACAACCCTGTTAAAGGTAATACAAAGTTTTGGGAAATTTTGAAAACTGGGTGGATAGTGATTCTATACAATTTTGATAATAATAACTAATAATTAACAACATTTGTATAGCGCTTATCACAAAATATGTCTCTAAGCGCTTAAATGATATATTTGGATGCCCCTGTGAATGTAATATAAGCACTAGAAAATTTAGCCCCTAAAACACTTCTGCTTTTGAGAAAAATTGAATATAAAAATTTACCGGTGCTCCCGGTAACTTTTGATAAATTTCAAATAGCGCCTACGGCCGTTTAATGGTAGCTGTGACCATGAGAAATTCAGAATATGTAGTTGTCATATATAATTTCCAAATGGGAATATCTTATCGGTCGATTTTAGTCAAGAAACATTTTTGTATAGCTTAATTGACATCTTGACCTTGAGAGGGGGCTATACAACATAAATAGTTATTATTTTCAATTTCATAACTTCAGACTCGATTTCAACCGCGACGACGATCACTGAATATTGTCGGAACGTAATTGCTTCCAATATGTTCATTTGAACCATATTAAAGACCCCATACCAAAACTTTGTATTACCTTTAAGTTTAAGGAAATACTATTGTTGAGCCCTTTTGGAACGATGTTTTAATTTCCTGGTCATATCACAGATACTACAACCTGTTAAGTTTAAGGAAATACTAGTGTTGAGCCCTTTTGGAATGATGTTTTAATTTCATGGTCATATTACAGATACTACAACCTGTTAAGTTTAAGGAAATACTATTGTTGAGCCCTTTTGGAATGATGTTTTAATTTCATGGTCATATTACAGATACTACAACTTGTTAAGTTTAAGGAAATACTATATCAACCTCTGTGGTTCAACTTTTACATTTGAGTTGATGGAAAACAAATAAATGTTTTCAAAAATGGTTTGATTCATCCTTGATTAACATTTCTGATATTTTAACACGAGACGAACATTTTAAAATTGTTGAAGTTATTGTTCAGAATGATGGTTATGTACCTCTGGTATATAATTCCTTTTTATCTGCTATCCGAAATGAATGGAAAATGGAAATAAGGAGCCAATCTATAGAAAAAATGAATTAAATTAGCCACTTGCTCATCGAATAAACAATTTCCTCAAACACAAACAAGTTTTTGAATTATGTTACTCTACTTTTATACATAGTCATACTATGGCTTTGTCAGAAACAGATCAACAAATCAAAATAGGAAAATGATCTCTCACTACAATTATCAGATGACGAAATATGGAGGTCTCGTTTTAATGTGATATATAAGTCATCAATAGATAAATTAAGACATTTTCAATTCAAATTTATTCATAGGAAAATTGCCTCAAATTCCTTCTTGTATACAATTGGAATTTTTGAACAAAATATATTTACATTTTATAATCTAAATGAACAAACAATAATTCATTAATGTTTTCAATGCCTTTTTTTTCTCAAGATTCTGGGGTGAATCGTACAGTTGGCTAATTTCTAAAAAGATCCGACTCATTAGATTATCACGTATAGAAATTTGCTTTGGAACATTAGAAAAAGAACACTTTTATCTGCTAAACACTATGATATCAACTTTTTTTCTTTCTTCATGTAAATGTCAAAACATCGTTCCTTTATTTAAATCCTTCCTGTTTTCTTTAATACAGTTAGCAAAAACAGAACGTATAATATCCTTTAAACTCAACCGTTTTGAATTTCAAAAGAACACAAATGGAATGGTATCTGTATAGTATAATTGAAAGCTTACTGAATGTTATTTCATTCAATCATGTCTCTGTATCATTGAAGAAAAATATGTATTTATTTGGAGGTTATATTTTGTGACGATGTGAATTGCAAATAAAACTAATTTAAGAAAAAGAAATGTTTTGTTAGGAACCTTAGCTATGCTTGTTTGCATTGAAGAAAATATGTATTTATTTTGAGGTTATATTTTGTTTGGACCCTTAGCTATGCTTATTTGCCCTAAAAGAGATTGGGTTTCTTTGCCTCAGATTCTTAAAAAAAATCGTGGATTTAGCTCCTGCTGCCAGGCAGGGATGGCGATTTTTGTCCATGACTGGGGGGACGAAATGCAAGGGACTAGGGAGCATAGTGAACGAGAGGGGCGAAGGTGACGGAAGTGACTACCCCTCACCGGTTTTTGAAGTTTTGTTGTATTAAAAAAATTACATTCCTTAGCAAAACTATTGTATAAAAACAAGCAATATACTTTTTCACGCTTCACTTTTTATTTACTGGTACTTAGTGTGCAGTCCGAAGGGTTGTAAATATTTAGTAGGTAAATTTTAGTAGGTAGGAAGCTTGGGCATGGATGGGACTTCTCTTCCACTCTAGGCCTCTGTTATGTACATGTATATTGATATCGCTATTATGCGAGGAAGCGTAGCGTCCGAGCGAGTGATTTTCTTTGCAATTGTATTATTCTTTACGCTGCACTCTTGGGCCCTCCAGAGCCTACAATTGTGTTCCAGTCTGTAGTCGGTAATTGCTATACATTTTTGTTGCTTCAATTTTTCCAATTTTCAGGGGGGGGGGGGGTTGGAGGGACGACCCCCCTATAACAATTGAAGGGGAGGGGACGTGCCCCCCCCCCCCGAGATCACCACCGCTGCATGCTGCAATCATAATTATAAACCGTTAGGTCGGTTTTGAATCCAATGACTTTTACAAGCCGATCGCCTGTCTGAGTATCAAGATATTTATGATTGGAAATTGAAATGTCAAAATCAATTTTCGTAACGTTTATTATAACACTACAGTCTTTTGGGGAAAATGAGTATGATAAAACCGGTCACTTAACGATTTTTACTTTTTAGAGGCACTTCAAGATAATTTTAGAAGCTAATTTTGGTTGGACTTCAATATTACACCACATCAGACACTGATAACACTTATATAGGGCCATGCATCTAAGATTTGTTAATTAAAACTGGAAACATTTTTAACAACGCCTTTATTGGGGAAGTAACTTTTTTATAATGATTTTTTTTCTTCTTCAGAATGACAGAAGAGTATCGTTTTATAATCTCCTCGAGCGAAATGATATTTATTAACTCTTATCATGCCACAGGGCTAATCCCCATTGGCCAAGCCCCAAATCCTTCAGAGCCAAGTTTATATTGCAATAATCTGATTAACGCGATGATTCTATGAACACAGCACACTACAATGAGCATGAACAATAACTGCTACTACAAAAGTGTGCACGCACATGGCACCATAGCAGTGGTTTGCTCGCATGTACAAAGCACTATAACGATAGCGTGCATGCAGCCACATGGCAGGCTATGAGTTAAAGCCTTATTATAGTTTGTACAAAAGGAATGTAAGGCAAGTCAGATACTACGATAATTGTTTGTGAAAGCTCGATATAACACGTATCTATTCTGTGACACTACATAGGTTTCTGGGATTCCTCTTGTCATAAATTTCACGCTTTCTCTTCCCTTCCCGTGACAAATATATCTACAGATTCTATGAAGTTCTGGGGCCCGTTTCATAAAACTTGTTATCAATAACAAATGCTAAATTTCTATGATAAATTTGCTCTCAGCCAATCAGATTCCATGATTTCAGTAGCTTATAACAGTAGCTTGTAAATTGTTATTGATATCAAGTTTTATGAAACAGGACCTTGATCACTGTTTAACATCCGACAGTCGGTGAGGAAATGACTAGTTGCCAACCAGTGAGTTAAAGATACCTGTCTTCAATTTACTAGATTTATTCAGTTTGTATGATATAATTTTGATTTTGAGTATTACAACTAACATAGATTTAGTTAAGATAGGGACCATTTTATGATAAATTTGCTCTCAGCCAATCAGATGCCATGATTTCACTAGCTTATAACAGTAGCTTATAACAGTAGCTTGTAACTTGTTATTAATATCAAGTTTTATGAAACAGGACCTTGATCACTGTTTAACATCCGACAGTCGGTGAGGAAATGACTAGTTGCCAATCAGTGAATTAAAGATACTCGTCTTCAATTTACTAAAATGATTCAGTTTTTATGATTTCATTTGGATGGAGTATTACAACTAACGTAGATATAGTTGAGATAGGAACCATTTTATGATGACTGCAGTAATGATCGTAAGCTCTTGCACTTCACATTTAGAGAGCACTTTAGTTGTCACCTAGGCTTTAATAAAGCAAGGTTTTCCATATAAGGGCCACGTGATCTAGACAATGCGCTCTACTGAAAATGAGTTTCATTTTGTCTAAACAGTGCCCTTTCTATCACTATCAGGTACTTACAAATGGGTGATTACGAATGAAGGTTTGGTTTCATTTAAACCAATCTTCACACGTAAAAATGGTTCCCGAGACCAGGGGCGCCGAAAGAGAGGAGGGGGGGGGGGGGCAGTCGCCCCCAATGAGAAAAGAAAAGGAGTAAAAATGGTTTATATTTTCTAACCACAAATAAAAAATATTAAAACCTGAGTTAAATCACGTTAAAATGGTATTCCATTCAAAGAAAAGGAGAGTAAACAGGAATTAATTTTCCTGAACATTCCGCACCTCCTTTTATTTATCAATAGAGGATTTTATAATAGCGATAGGCGCATATCTTATACGAATAAAACCTAAATTGCGTAACTGATAACGTACTGATGTTGAGACATATTGAATTTGTGTAGACATTGTCATATTCGAGTCGAGAAACACACCAAGGTTGCGGCATACATTGGATAAGGTAATTTCATGTCCAGCAAGAGTATTTGAAGTGATTGAAATCTTCTCTATAAATTAAACCGAGTCTTAGAACCATACATTACAAATTCGCATTTGACAAGATTGTCTAATTTGAGTGAGTGTGAGTGCAGCCAAATATGAACATCTTGTACACTAGTCTCAATGTTGTGGATAGCGCTGGCTGCATTATTGCTCTGATTGGGTTTGAAAGAAGTATATATTTGAATATCATCGGCATAAACATGATAAGAAAGAGAATGGTGATGAAAAATATTCTTCAAACCGGTTAAATATAACGAAAACATGGTGGGCCCGCCCACAGACCTTGCGGAACTCCGTATATAAGTGGTACACAATCTGAAAGGCTGTCATTTATCAAGACAGCTTGAGAATGGCATGACAGGTATGATTTAAACCATTCCAGGGCTTGACCTCTAACACCGAGTGACAAAACAGTGTGGTTAACAGTATCGAAGGCGGAAGACAAATCAAGGAGTACCGTAGCAGTTCCGCCATGCATCCATCTCCTGGAGTATAAAGTTAAATACATTAACAAGGAGGGTTTCTACACTGTGGTGGGGGAGGTATGCAGATTGAAATGGGTCAAGGAGGTCATTATCGAGACAGTAATCATTTAATCTAAAAAAAACACTACCCTCTCAAGTATTTTAAACAAAAACGGGAGATTAGAAACTGGACGATAATTACTTATTAGTAATTCAGAATCAAGATTAGGTTTCTTCAGTAAAGGAAGAATGTGTACCGTTTTAACGACAAAAGGTACGCATGCCTGATCGATACGTAAGTTGACAATCTGTGAGATAACAGAGGCATTTGTCTAAAACCCCTTGAACTTCATTTGGCTCATCCCCTTTGACCCCACGCCAATTTATGCTCCACTCGCTATGCTCGCTACGCTCTACCTGATCGTAAATACCCAACTTTGAAAAAAGTACCGCGGGGCCTGCAGGTAACATGTAAGATTTTTCTTCTGCCCCCCCCCCCAAAAAAAGAGTTTTTGCTGATTACGCCACTGCCCCTGAAAGGTGAGCCCCCTGGAATGTTTGCCCCCCCCCCCATCGGAGCCTGCCTATGACGGCTAGGTGATATTAATATCATATTTCGTATTATGACCTAGCCCTTTATAAGGCAATGGACTAATACGTAGGTTTAACTCATATCAGTAAGTATAGAACAAAAGTTCTACTGCTTCATTTTGCTTTATCAACATCAGCAAATGTCATTACCTTGTTTCCCCGGGAAAGAATGTAATAATAACATATGCTGATGGCTTTCCTGTTAGCCTAACACTTCCTCACATTAACATACAACTGCACACAACATACTACATAGTCTACTCACATACATTCGTGTCTTCTTCGTCTTCTTCACATTCGTATCTCAGTTCTGTGTTTAAAATCCAGACATTTTCATGCTCCAAACGATACAAAATATATCTCACCCGATATACAAGTAAGCTGCTATTCTAACTTTCGTAATGTATATTCCAAAAGCACGTTGACAAAGTCGATAATAAAAAAAATTGACGAAGACAAAAATCAAATGCTCATATGTGCTTCAGATTTAATCAAGATGGCGTCGAGCTTGATATTGTCCATCTACAAACTAGTGCATATTGTGGCATTCACATACATTTAAAATTTTGATAGCAACATTCAATGAAGTGTGTATACATTGAAAAAATGTTGCAGGCAAAAGGCAAATTATTGTGTGAATTCTCGCTATCGCCCAAAATCTTCCCGTCGACAACTGTTCCTTTGTGTCGCGGTTAATATTCAATTTGACAAAAATGAAGATGACTAAGCTCAGGCTGCTCACGTAGTCTTGGTTTCAGACGTTTTCGCTCACAGGCTCCCATTGATTAGCCATGCTTCAATCACCATGTCCCCGAAAAGATCGTTAAGAAATAGTTATAAATATAATATTAATTGTTATCAATCGATGCAGGATAAAAGCATACCACGGCATTGAATCTCGCTATGTCTCTATCTCTTTAAAATATCTTCTTTCACTGGACTTCAAACTATCACTTTTCATAGATGGGAATTTATTATTTTACTGCAGATGCATTACGTGGTAATTGGGTACTGATTTGTAAATGTAATCCAATATAGTATTAAACTATTGGTAATAGTAATAGTACATGTAGCAGTAGTAGTGGTAGTAGCAGTAGTAGTAGTAGTATTTTCAGTGGCAGTAGTAGTAGCAGTAGTATATTAGTAGTATCAGTTTCAGTGGCAGTAGTAGTAGTAGTAGTAGTAGTAGTATATTAGTAGTATTAGTTTTAGTGGCAGAAGTAGTAGTAGTAGTACTAGTAGTAGTACTAGTAGTAGTATTAGTTTCAGTGGTAGTAGTAGTAGTAGTAGTAGTAGCATATTGCTCCGGTTGTCTCAAGCGGTTGTAAGCGGACACTTTTTTTTTTTTTTTTTTTTGGTCTCGAAATTTGAAAATTTGACATTTTTCTTCGTTGGGGGGGGGGGGGGGGTCACCTTTTTTAGGTTAGCCGTGGGCATATTTTTTTTATTTTATTTTTATTTTTTTAATAATGATACGAAAAAAAAAAAATCCAAAGGGGGGGGGGGGATTTAGGTTTTTTTAGGGGGGTTTACACACATAAAAATACAAAAAGGGGGGGGGGGGGGTTTGAACCCCAACCCCCCCCCCCCTGCGTACGCCTCTGGTAGTAGTAGTAGTAGTATATTAGTAGTAGTAGTTTCAGTGGTAGAAGAAGTAGTAGTAGAAGTAGTACTAGTAGTGGTATTAGTTTCAGTGGCAGTAGTAGTAGAAGTAGTAGTAGCAGTAGTCGTAGTAGTATTAGCATATTGCTCCGTTTGTCTCATTTTCACTCGCTGGACGTATATAGCAGACTGCTTTCGGCGGATTAGACGACACTTGGTAGGGAATTTGTATGTGAGATTGCTTTGCTAAATATAACATACAAGAACATTTTCCATATCTTTAAAATATCGTTGATATCTGATACAATGAAATACTTGACTTAAAGTTAGGAGTTTGATGTGGTGCACAATTGCACCCTTCTGTAAATAATCGAATAGTCCATGGCGATCATGAATGTTCATGTTTTTGCTTACCTCGGCAAAATGCTTGCCTATACTAAATGGACAAATTACGGTGGGGGATTGGCTGAAATGGACATAATAAACCGATCAGAACTGATCTATGATAATTCATGTTTGTTATCCTTCGTGTGCTTGACCTATAACCTCACAATCGTGTGTCAAATTGTGTCCAAAGTTCGACTTGTTTCACATGTGTTACATAGACAATGGCGAGCTAGCGACCTATTTTGACCAAATTACGGTGGATGAAATTTCAAAAGTCAATGGGACATGAGGGTTCCAATGAAAGAGCTAGTGTCAACGTACGTCGGGGTGGATGTGCTTGTCGTTTAAACACAAAATGAATTTTTAACGATTTGTTTTGGTAAAAGTCAGTAGGCTAACATGTTAGGCTGCTGGACTCTGACGATAGGGGGCGTTGTCCAATGAGACTATGCGGAGACATACGTTTCAGTGGCAGTAGTAGTAGTAGTAATAGTAGTAGTAATAGTAGTAGTAGGATAAATATATCAGAAGCTGTCGCAGAATTTATTGTATATGCAATACAACAGAAAACATTGCTCAATGTATAGATGGTTCAACATTTTAAGACTCTTCGAAGAGGTACAGGAACATCAAGAAAAAGGAAGGAAAGTCATTGCAACTTGATTTCACAACTACATGTACGAGAAAGTAAGTTCATGTAATCGTTCTTTTGATTTTGATTTTGATTTTATTTTATTTTCTTCTGCATTCATATAAACATACAGTTTTTCGATAACAATAATAATATAAAGTACAATAAGTATTTTTTTGACAATGAATCATAGATAAGCAAATACATATATATAAATTGTTATTTTCAAAAACGAAATGATAAACTGTCATAAATACTAAATTTCCTCAAACATTATAAATCATTATAACATTATTTGCGGAAGAAGGACTGTCATTGTAAACAGATTGCTTGATAATACGACAGCCCCAGACAAAACTCATGAAATATATTAACACATTTATTTAGCAGTAACGGATAGGTAATTGAAAATACAAATTTCGATGATGATGATGCAGATGAGAATGATGATGATGATGAAGATGATGATGGTGATGATGATGATGATGATAATGATGATGACGATGGCGATGGTGATAATGATTCAAATGAAAGAAGAGATGACATGATAAGAATGAAGAGTTGACACAGAAATTCTACCTTGAGTATTCTAGAGCTGATAATAACATCGTTTTAACTTCGGCCTTAAATGAGTAGAGGGAGCAACAAGATTCTTGGAGAGAGTTCCATTAGGTCGGGATCATGGTGTCTTATGGATCTATGGGCAATAAGTAATTTCGGGTTTACTAGATGAACATTTGAGGAATTACGGATAGGGTAAGAATGAATAGCTTTATTCATAGTGTAAAAGTTTGAAATGAAAGAGGTAGCATATTATTTAAATATTTAAACATGATCAGTATTACACTTAGTAGCAAATTTATGTCGAATACTGTTAAGGTTTTCAGTTTGTAGAATATTGGACTTGTTTGGAATTAATATGGTGAACCAGTACATATACGAAAGGTTTTCTTTTGCAATAAACAAATAGAGTTGATTTTGGTTTTGGCGCTGGTGACCCATACTAAATTGCAATATATTATATACGGTAATATCAATGAATCATAAAGCATAACAAGCGTATAACACAGGATTAATTTCTTCATTTTATATAATAAACCAAGATTCCTAGAAATAGAAATAGTGATATGACGTATATGTTCATTCCAGTTTAGATTTTCATCGATAATGACACCCCAAAATTTAGTTGTTCTCTTTCTTTCGAGAGGGACATTATCTATACTTATGTTGTAAGGAAAGTCAATGACATGAGAATTTACGTGCTTGAAAAACATGAAATTTGTTTCATTTATATTAAGAGATAACTTATAATAATAATAATATTTTTTTCCTGTTTTCCGTGAGTGCCTTGGAATCATATTATTACCCCGGTCATCGGATTCAGGCTTACCCGCACATAATGTATGCACATTCTCCACTCCCGGGGGAGCATTCCAGCCAGTGCATCATTTTTTACAAGCGCACACTTGCTAATCTAAGCACATTAGCTTTCGCATCCTACCGGGTACCCATTTAACATCTAGGTGGAGAGTGGCAAATGTAGATCAATGTCTTGCCAAAGGACGTTAGTGCCGCGGTGGGACTTGAAACGCGGGCCGTGTGATCCACAGTCCGGTGACATATCCACTCGTCCACGACACCTCTACAATTGCATTGAAACCATAGAGATAATTTTGGTAACGCATTATTAAGTTTATTTACTAAAGTGTTTAAATTAGGATGTGAACAGCAGATGTTCGTGCCATCAGCAATTAAAACAAATGATAATAAAGGTGTTGTATTGGTTAAATCATTAATATATAATAGAAAAAGCAAAGGGCCAAAAATTGATCCTTGAGGAACTCCACATTTGGTAGGTAAAAAACTAGACATAGCATAATTATACATTGCATATTGTTTTCTGTTAGATAAATGGCTTTCAAACCATGACAATGCAACTCCACGAATACCATAAGAGTAAAGTTTTTTTCAGTAAAATTAGGTGGTCCAGTGTATCAAAGGCTTTTGATAAATCCATAAAAACTCCTATTACATGTTCTTTATTGGCCATAGCATTCGTTATTTTATCATATAATTGTACTAAATCTTGGTCAGTTGAATGTCCTTTTCTAAAACCATATTGATTTAGATTAACCCTAATAAGGCCGGGCTATTTGAGGTCTTAGTATGGCCGGGGGGGGGGGCATTATGGCCCCCCTTAAGATCTCGGCCGCGAAGCGGCCGATCGCCGCGAAAATTTGCTCGCATGTCAAGTGAAGTGTATAGAATAATATGATAATTTCAATTTTGCGAAAAATTCACTCATTTGCATATTTATGGTAATTTATGCAAATAAAGTCATAAAACTCACATTTTTACCCATAAATCATACATTATTCATAATTAGGCATTCTTTTTCACTACATATATTCATTAGACCATTCTGAATAATAATACAACAAACAAATTGGAAGAGCCAGCTTATTCCTTATGTTATCCCTTGTTTTGATAATTTCTTATGTATTTCAATGTTTTTTTAACTTATGTATTTCATTGTTTTTGTTGTTTTATTTCATTTCTTACAACAATTCAACTATTTTGACACCCAAAACAACCACCTAAACTTTAAACAAGACCCAATAACCCATGCTTGATCTGTTTTTAAGAAAAATGACTTTTCCATATGTTTTGTACACAAATCACGAAAATTAGCGATTTTCGGGCTGACATGCAAGGACAAAAGGTCACGTGACCTTGTACCTTGGACTCGGGACATTTCCCGGTATTTATTGATAGATTAAAAATGTGAGTTAAAGGACAAGCGATAAAGTGTATGACGTGTTTAAGAAGGAAAGCACTTGTTATTGGCAGAAATTGAATTTAGGCCCTCTGCGGCAGGTTAGAAGAACGTGGTAGCTAGGGAAACGAATTTGTAGTTGTTGGAAGAATGTCGGAAGGC